GGGAAAGGAGGGAAAGGAGGGAAAGGAGGGAAAGGAGGGAAAGGAGGGAAAGGAGGGAAAGGAAAGGCTGCCAAGTGAAAAGGCACGGCATGGCCATGTGCAAACTCAGTGCCAGATGCAACCATGTTGGTGGCACAGAGATGAGGAAAGGGAAAGGGCAAGAAGTCCAAAGAGAAGATCCGGTGAGGCAATATGTGCAACAAAGCCAGGCCATTCCACAAGTTTCTGCCTCCCGCATCTCCAGTCTGAGTTCCCTTCTCAAGGTCTGGTTCCTCTGCTTCAGCACCAACAGAGTGGTGCTGGACATTTCGCGTCCACAGAGTGGATGAAGGATGTGACGGCGCAACACGCGCCGAGAACAGGTGCAAGAGAACAGGGGTGAGGTTACAAATCGCTAAGCGGCTAGCCCAGCGTCAAGCAAATTGCTTGGCATTTTATGCTGTGCCAGTCCACCAACTCGCTCCCTGCATCTTTTGGCGACTGCGAGACAAAAACCCGTCATGTATGGTGGTGTGCTCTCATAATGCACTTGGTGAATAGTATTTATATAACCGTAATTAGTCTTGAATGAACACTTTCCGCAGTTAGAGCCTCTCCAAGGAATCATCACAGTTTTTAGTTCCTTACAGTCATGGAAGCTCACAAAGGCGACAACGGGTACCATTTTCGCTTCCTGCTTTTCATGGCTCCTTCCGCTCATTTCGAAGGGCAATATCCTGCTCTCCATTTTCCACTTTGAAAAACATGTTGAACCAAATTGAGTGCAATACGGTGCGCTATGAGCAGGAACTCCACAAACACTGGTAGTTTACATGCTGCTGCCATTGCTTCGCAAGATGATCATTGGGTTTAATGCTAGTGTGCACTGCAATGCTGTATTCCTGTGCATTCTGCGTTTTCATGGCAACATTTTCTTTGCTTGCAACTCATCTCCATCGGAAATCAGAGCATCCCAACAGCACTGGCAACCCTGTTAGCATGACACACTTTCAATCAGCGGCATACCTTCGACATCCGCTTCCAAAACAACACGTTGCCAAACTCTAAACTTACATCATACTCAGGCACTAAGGCATACGGATGTTCACGCAAAGCTCCATCAACCACAGCTTTGGAATGAGAGGCGCAACCATGTTGGCTCCAAAAGTCAGTTCGCCAGCTTTCCAAGCACCCTGTCTCCACCACGCGCACAGCCAGCACCAGCACCCAGCACGGGCACCCAGTCTCCGCCACGCGCACCAGCACCCACACAGCACCCAGCACCAGCACCCGGCACTGGCACCCTGTCGCCACAGCCAGCTCACAGCACCCAGCACCAGCACCCGGCACCGGCACCCTGTCGCCACAGCCAGCTCACAGCACCCGGCACCGGCACCCTGCACCGGCACCCAGCACCGTGTCTCGAAAGCGCGGACTACTTTGATATATATAATAAGTCTTGGCACAAAGTTGATTTATATTTTTTGTATATTATATGCCTTGGGAGTTGTTAATTTGGTGCAGTTGGGCTGAATCGTCATACACTGCTTTCAGGCCTTTGCGACGATGCTATTTGTCATCCATGAGTTTCCAAGTGCTGCGCATTTTGCTGAATTTGGGCCAATGCAATGTAAGAGTGGTGCTTTCACCATGGGTCATGCTGAGATGAGGCATTCTTGCTTGGAACTTGCAAAGGTGTCGTTCCTGAAACATGGTGCTGGGTGGGTTTTTGGCATCCTGGGTTAGCAGGCTTTTGGTAGCCAAGCATTCTAAGTGCCGTTGCTTTTTGGACTTTTTTCGCACATGATTGAGACCAGCAATTGTGCGACTGTTTATCCAACAGTTCGGAGTATGAGCTGGATTTGCACCGTCGCCTTGAAGAGTCGGTCTTGGTGCTCGTGCACTCAAACTCGCACTCACTGTCACTCTCACTCACACACTCACTCACACACTCACTCACACTCACTCACACTCACACTCAAACTCACACTCACTCGCTCTCACTCTCACTCTCACTCTCATTCTCATTCTCCCACTCTCACTCCCACTCTCACTCACTCCCACTCCCGCCCGCACTCACTCACCCACCTTCACTCTCACTCACACTAAAACTCACTCTCGCGCGTCGGCGCCCATCGTCACGCATCGTCACGCATCGTCACGCAGCGTCACGCAGCGTCACGCAGCGTCAGCGATATTTGGACACCTTCACAAACCTACTGGGGCATGTTTTTGCTATCTGGGGCCTGTGCTGGTGTAGTTGTTTATCCCTTTGGGTTCCTTTTGGCATTTTGGGGTGGCGTTTGAACATGTTTGAACGATTTTGAACGTATGATGGCTTTGGAAACTTTGTGCACCAGGAATGGAGTTGGGTGGCTTGCATGAATTGCCTTGCAACCGGCATTGATGACAGTGGCAAATTCAAAAGGAGACGCAGCGTGATGGTTCAAAAACCAGTGGGATGGCTGACGCTGACATATCGACGGCTTGAGTTCGTTATTCAACCATCATGTGCCAGCAACAGGCCAAGTTTCAATGTTTTCATGAGGCTGACTTAGTTCCAAAAGAACTTAAAAGACATCTTTCTTTCCTCCTCTCTCTTTCGATCGTGATTTGCCACTTTCATAGAGGCCAGGCTTTGATGGAACATTGAGCCATGGGAATGTAATGATGAAATGATGGGTTGCCTGATTGAGCCATTGACTTTGTGGTCAGTCCACCAAAAGTGTCGTCAGGTCGGAAAAATGGGCCGGAAGAAGGCGCTGGGAGAAGGTGATGGAGGTGGTGCCATGAGGGACATGCAGTGCCTTTGAGGCAAAACCAGGGTGCTTTGAGGTAACGGTTTAAGTTTTCATGGTTTGATGGCCAGCTTCTTGAAAGACGTGTGAGCGACAATAGCGCTCATCGTGTTTCATTCATTCATGCGCCCTGTTGCGCTTACTATGTTCTGAGGAGTGCGTTCGCACAGCTGCAGAGCATGATGGCAATGGCCAATCCTGATTTTAATGTGACGCCCGCGAAGGGAGTGGGAGGCTTACAAGCTTTCTCCAATGGTGGCAGTGGAGGTGGGAGACTTGCTGAGATCAGGGCAGATGGCGGTAGGCAGAGTAGGGTTCCGCGCGTTCGGTGGGAGGAGGATTCCAGGTCGTTGCTGCACCGGTGCTGCTGGGGATCGACATCGACGGACTGTTGCTTTTGATGGCTGTGTTGGAATGAAAGAGACTGACCGAAGGCCCTCCTCGGTTCGGCCTTCGTTGTCTCACAGGTCTTGGCCAGATGCCCACACCTGCACCAAAAGCCAGCAATTTGCCAGCAGTATTTGCAGCGAAGGCTGCAGCACTAGCCGCAGCGCCGATAGGCGTGCCAGCAGCTTCTCGACTGCCAGCAGCTTCTCGACTGATGCCAACTTGTGCACTTTGCATTTTTAAGCTTTCCATGATTTTCCATGAAGGATATTACTTGGGACTTGTTACTGAACTTTCTTCATGACATGTAGTCCCACAACGGCCTTTCCAAGAAGAAATGTTGCTTGTCAAATCGTACATACATATATATATATATATATCTATCTCTTTCTCTCTCTCTCTCTCACTCTCTCCCTCTCTCCCCCTCTCCCTCTCCCCCTCCCTCCTTGTTTCACATATGTATATATATATATATACATACGCTTAATACTTAATGCTTGCCAACGTGCATGTCGATTGAGTTGTATGACCCTGCCAATGTGATTTGTATCGAAGGCCCTGGCCTGATCCAGAGCGCGAATGCGTCGCCTACAGGAGTATACTCTAGGGCGACTGGTTCTATGCCTATTGCAGATGCAATTGCAAGATGGAAATGAAAAGCAGACCAACTTAGCCTTTCTTCCCACCATCAAGGCACCTGCCACTCACACTCCCCAGATTCTTCTCAAGACCAGATGCCATCGCCGCTGACCCAATGTATCAGCATGAGTATCAGCATGTTACCTGATGCAATTCAGAAAGGAATACCAAAGGTGGTTGGGCCCATTCATCAGGTTTCAGGGGCCTTATTTTTGCTCTCAAGCCGGATCGATGCTCCTGCGACTCAGGGAAAAATTGTGCGCCCATCTCAAAACACAGCCCACCGCAAAAGGACATTTGCCGATTCAGAAACCAACCGATCAGGAAACTACGATTCAGAAACCAAAACAGCCGATTCAGCAACTACAATTCAGAAACTAAATAGGACGATTCAGCAACTACAATTCAGAAACTAAATAGGACGATTCAGCAACTACGATTCAGAAACCAAGGCATTCCGATTCAGAAACCAAATGGTCCGCTTCAGGAACCAAATGAGCCGATTCAGAAACCGAATGGGCCGATTCTACCGAGTTACCGAATCAGCGCTTTCTTTTTTACCGAATCAGCGGTTTTGGTTACCGAATCATAGTTACCCTTTCCCGGGCATTTACTTGGAACATTCCAAATGTACTGGCATCACAACATGGCCTCTGGTTTTGCAAAATGCAAGGCCGTCACGCAAAACCTTCGCGTAAGAGGTCGGAGTTTGGGCCAAACAGTGACTAACATCAAACTAAAACTTCAAGTGATAAAGAGTCCCAAGCACCTTCTTTGTTTTCTCAATTGTATTTCAAGAGTTGTTTTTGAGAACTGCCTTAAGGCCCAGGCCGTGCCAACGATGCCGGTACGGCCACCAAGTGCGCCGGCAAGGCCGCCACCAGGAATGGATCAGGATGGCTACGACCCCAACAAGATTTATGTGTCTGAGCATGGCCTGCAGCCCAGAAAAAATGCCCTATTAGGAGGCCATCGCTAGTAGGTTGGAGGCCATCACTACTAGGCATGTCGTGGACGTGTATGTCTGAGCCATCGGTCCATCCGACCAGCCAACCAAGGGCGCATCCACCCTGACATTACCGAGCTTTGTGAAGGCGAACTTATAGTATGCGACATCAGTGATTAAGTGATTCCACTTATAAGAATGGCCCAGCTGACTTGTACAGAAGCTCAGTTTGAAGCACTTACCAGCAGGCCAGCACTAGTTTGAGCAAAAGGAAGCATGTCCATGTCGAAATATGGTTGCCCGATAGGTTTCTACATCGAACAGAGGCATGTGGAGAAACTGAATGAGCTCATGAAGAATCGGAGCTTTGGACGCCGTTATGACTCCGCATCTAGCTAACGCAAGACTCCGAGAACTCTCTCTCTCTCTCTCTCTGCGTGTGCTGTACGTATATAGATGTGCGCATTATAATAGGCTTTTGTTTAAATATGCAACAGCATGCACAATGTGAATACCTATCTTTATGGACTTTTACCCCTGTGCCTGGGACTGTGTGACAGACAGTTTTTCGCTTCTAGGATGGACACCTGGGATGAAGATCTCAAGAAGCTCAGGGAGATCATGGAGAAGGCAAGGTCCCCGTCACTTGGTCCGAATCGGCACTCTGACGGCGCGAACAAGAGAGCGACGAAGAAGAGGAACGACATTTGAGGACGACGGACGCCATTTGGCGCGCGTGCTTTGTGCTTTGTGCCTTTGGTTTTCCCTCTTTTTGCTGCAAAAGGGATTCTCCGAAACATCACGAGGTGTGGTATGCTGGTTGTCAAGATGAAGGAGATCGAAGACGGTACATTTGTTGCGGTGAATCGCGACAAAAGGATGAGGCACCTCGTGGAGAAGTTCAAGCTGGACCGCATTGCAGAAACTAGCATTTCAGATATTCTCGCTCGATGTTCCGAAGAGAAAAAGAGTGAATACTACTACGATCTGGAGAAGCACTTCGAATGCTCGGGAAAGCCCTCTGCCACTGCCATGCTCATCATGAAGAAACTGGCGAGTGGTGATCCCCTGGGTCCACCTGGGAGACCCGCGCCTGGGAGCTACTTGCACCGCTTGCAAAATGGCGACAAAGCAGAAAGAGGAGACAAAGCAGAAAGAGGAGAAAGAGGAGAAAGAGGACCGGATCGTAGAGAAGGCAGAGATTTTAGAGAAGGAGACCGACCTGATCGAGGCAGAGACTTCAAAGAAGCCAGAGATGGTCGTTTCTCGAGCGATCGAGATCGTGGAGATCGTGGGTACCGGGATCGCGAGCGCAGTGATCGCCGAGATCGCTTCGATCGGCGTGAGGAGTTGGACCGACGAAACGACCGACGGGAGGAGCGCAGAGACGACCGGCGGGAGGACCGACGGGAGGACCGACGTAGAGACGCTCCAACTGCGTCACGTGATCCGGAACCCTTTGTGCCCAAACCGAAAGGAATGGAAAGACCAGAAAGAGGAGAGGGCTGTCCAGAAGCCGAAGGTTTGACTGGTAAGGCTGCTGCTGATGCCTTGCAGGCAGGTGCAGACAGAGTGCGTAAAGAAGTTCAATTAAATATTCAAGCAGCCATCCGAAAGGCAATTTCCGAAGGACGACCGATGGAGGAGTGGACCGCATGAAGATCATGAAGCCGGATTACCGGATACAGGTGGTTCGTCATGTATTCTGTTATCCAATGGTTGCTCAATGCAATACCATTGGCCATTGACTGTGTGTTGCGCGGGTTTGTCAATATTGCAACATGACCTACATATCGAAGCAATTGATTGTGGGTTGGTGGCAGCAGCGAGTTGCTTGTCAGAGTTTCCCATACAGAGCTAGCCATGCGTGGGAAAAAGAAGCCTGCGCCGGGGTTCCAGGTAGCACGATAAAGATGGCTGGCAGAGCAGTGATTTTGTCATACGACAATGAAGTCCATAATAAACCCGCTATTGGTATTGGGTTTTGATCGAACAGTTGAACTCCCTTTGGCCAAGCACAGGGGAACAGCCTTGATCAGAGCATATATTTGATATTTTCTAAGGCAATCAGAGGTTTAGGATGGCCCACCACGATAGATAGCGAGGTTGTGTCATAGGAGCAATCGTGCTGGGGCTATAGTTTAGTTTTGCGCTTACCTGGGGGCTCCTGGCCTTACTACTAGGAGCAAGGACGCTACTAGGAACAAAGGGCATCGCTCCTAGGAGCAAGGACGCTACTAGGGGCTCCTGGCATCGCTACTAGGAACAAGGACGCTACTAGGTGCGATATAATGCATGACCAGATACGACCCCATTGGATCACACAAGTTGGGCAGCTATACCCTAGAATTTGCCATGCAGGTGGGCTGCAGTAATACGGCTTAGAAAGCACACCCTCGGAAAGAAAGTATAAGGTGATGATGCTCAAGCCACTGAGCCAAAGGATCGGCAGATATATGTTTGTTATACACATAGGTATATAAACCATATGTATAAATATATAAATATGTAATATATATATATAAGTATATATATATATATATCCGCTTCTAACTCCGGCACAGGTGTTCGGGTGTTCTCTTCTTGTTTGGCCAAGCAAGCCCGCATGATGGTTTGTTGCATCGAAGGCACTGTCGCAAGGATCACATGGCCAGCCGATAAGGTTGAAATTGTTTCTCATTGGCTGCAATTGCAAGTTTGATTTCTCGACCAAGCTAGCAGGTAGCAGTTGGCACTCTACGACTAGGAGGATGACTTGGATTCATGAACATGTATGGTAACTTATGGCTTCATGATTCATGACTTCTAATCTCGGTTTATTGGAAGTACAAAGGACCAGGTTGCTGCTAGTTGAGGGGAACTCCTGGACATTCTTTCACACAACAGTAGGCCTGCAGATTTTGTCCAAGTGTTCTCCCAAACAACCTACATGGACCATTATGCAACTACTGTTAGTGATTTCAGACGGGCTTGGCAATGGCACGGCTCATCTACATTGACAATCTTCGGAGCGCTCTGTCAGTGCTGGTGGTTGGGCATCACAGTGCCCTCGCGGTGTCCGGACTCGGTAGCTGGTACTTCTCGGTGAGTGAACCCCACTTAGAGGAACCCATTGCGTCAGCAGTGGTAGCAACCCTGCTGTTTACCACGCAAGCCTTCCTCACGGGGTTGTTGTTCTTGATAGCCGGCTTGCTGACTCCCAGATCTTTGGCTGAGAAAGGTGCGTGGAAATACTTCTTAGGGAGACTTTGGCGGCTGGCACTCCCAGCTTTGCTTGTAGGGCTTCCGGTTCATCATTTCTCGCAATGGCTCGGCGATCAATTCAGTGGGGGAGAAGCCTCGACTCTCGACTTTCGTCTCAGCTCTGGGCCTGGTGTGGCCTGGTTTGAGCTTTGGCTGCTGGCCTTTGAAACAGTTTTTCTGCTTGTGTCCCCCAAGCAGGCAAGGCGCGCACTCAAGAGTGTAGGTCGCAGCGTGAATCTTGGTAGCATATTCCTATGTGTAGTCTTTTTGGCATTTGTTCAATTTGCCGTCGAAATGCATGTGGCGAAGCCACTTGCTAGTGTTTTTCCTCATTGGCGTGGGCTATCACATCACATCATTCACACGCCACTGTATGGCTTCTGCTTCGGGTGCGGTTCACTTTGTGAAACGAGCTTGCTGACCATGTTGAGTGCTCATGCACGGCCACTGGGCATTGCCTGTGCATTGTCGATGGGGCTTTGCTTTCTTTTCGCGCTGGGGCGCGATCAAACACAGCCTGAAAGGGCGTCAAACTCACTAGCAGTCGCAATTGGTGCGTTGATGACCGTCAGTGTATGCGCAGGGGCGTCCATTCGGCTTCTCGTTGCCTTTGAGGCCTATTTCTCCAAGAGGTCCCTGTTGAGCGATTTGTCTGGTTTGAGCTATGCAGTGAACTTATTGCATCCAATGATTGTGGTGCTGCTTACTCCACTTGTGGCAACACTTTCGCTGGGATTGATCAGTCAAATAGCAATCCTGTGGGCTTCCTCCGCAGCTGTGAGCTATGGAGTTGCTGGTTTGATTCGTTGTATTTCAATCGTGTGAAAGATTCTGTAGCATTCTGCCATTCCTATCTCTCAAAAGCACTTGACACCGACAGCGGCAATCTTCGTCCTGGTCGCAGATTATGAGATTGGGAGAGCGCATTGGACGAGTGATCCTCTTCAGCCTCCAAGCTTGGTTTAGTAATGGATCTATCAGGATGTGCTTGATTCTCTTGCAGTGTAGGCCATGGGATTCCAGCTCAAGCAGCTCTTCGTGAGAGGGCTTTGTAAAGAATCTAGTGGAGTAGCGGCAGTCAAATAACTTCCACACAGGCCACCTGCAAGCTATTGATTGATACCCGTGAGAAGGCTTGGGCATCGTGGGCAAACTATATAATTTGTGCTCCGGGCTTGTGAGGGAATTCTGTGCCGTCGATACTTTTCTTGTAAAGTGTATCGGACAAAAACTCTCCACCCATGGGCCGGGATGGTAATTAATAATTAGGCAGCAAGGACGCTATTAGGTGGAGGCCATCGCAAGTAGGTTGGAGGCCATCGCTACTAGACGCTACTGTGTGGAGGCCATCGCTATCAGGTTGGAGGCCATTACTACTTACTACTAGCAACAAGAAGCTACTAGTTGCATTGCAGTCAAGATTGGTGCTTCGCAGCTCTCAAGCCCCAATGACATCCCACGAGATAGGGTGATGGATAGGGGCCGATTGGAGGAGGTTCCCATGCCCGGTTCTCAGAGATGTGCTTGGCTTTTGGCAACCAGAATTAGCTGAAGAAAAAACTCTTTCAGGGCCTTAGTCTCTCAGTCTCATAGCCGTCTCATCACCTTAAGGCATAGGCTTTGCTTAGTCAGCCTTAGTCTCATCTCCAGCTTTAGTCTCTTCCAGCTTAGTTTGACGAGGCACGCCCCAAGGGCCATGGGCCTGCCTCCCGCCGTCGCTCGTATCTTTGAGCGAGCCGACAGAGCACGCCACCGAGAGGGCACACTGAGATGCTCAATAGAGCTGTCAACCTGGTGGGTATATATATATATATACAAACACGAGAGCAGTGCATAGAAAGACACGCCGTGCCAAGTTGGAGCCTCTTTTTGCACATCGGAGTCACAAAAGCAACCGTTCAGCTCTTAGCTCTGGCTGTGCCTTTTCGTCCATGTTTTTGTCATAATGCGACTGGCTTTTTGCTCCACGAAGGCATCGGTCCTTTGCCAATGCAGATGCCAATGTTTCCAGAGTCGATTGATTTGGACAGAACTGACAGAACTAAATTTTTGTTTGTTGAGGTATTGACATGCTTGCAGCACACTTTCGATATCTTTGAGTGACGGATCCAACTGGTCAATTTTTGCCCAAGATGTCCTCCTCCAGGAGAGTCGGCCTCCTCGGCAGAGGGGTCGGTCTTGGGATTTTCGATCAGGAGATTCAGGAGACCCACAAAGAGAGGAGAGAGAGAGAGAGAGCCTAATAGAGATCGCCTCCAACCTAGTAGCGATGGCCTCCAACCATAATTAATAGAGAGATAATGAGAGGACTCAAAAAGAGAAGGTTGAGAGTGAGACATAGAACGAGATGGGGCCAACGGGCTTGGGAGACGATGGAGGCTCCACAAAGGCCTATAGATGCCTATAGTAAACTTCAAATTTTACATTGGCACATGGGTGGCTCACTTTGCTGACGCTGAGCCAAAAAGCAGGTGAGGGCAGCCCGTGGACAGCTCAGTTGCTCCAACGTTTGTCAGTTTTTTTGAGTTTGATGCAACATGTTTTGGTGTTACCGAGAATTTTGAGCAACAAGTTGCATACGGTAGAAATCATTATAGTTTTGCTAGCTGGAGTGGCCTTCTTTGCGGCAAGAGTTGGTGAAAACCTCCGGTCTATCGGGCGTTGCTGGCGATTTCCTACTCATCCTGAAGACCTGCGGCAGACCGTGCCATTCCGAATTTATCCTGAGTGCTTCTTGAGCATTTGTCCACCCGGCCTAGTAATTCGCCCATTTTCACCGATATTTATGTGCAGAATGTTCTTTTCCATGATATGGCGCGTGCGTGTGAGCAGTGCTAGAGACAGCGCTTGGACACCCTTCTTTCGTCTTTCAGGTGATCATGTTAATGATATGTGTTCCGCAAGATTTTCACAGTTCCAGTTTGTCTTGATCAAATGAACTTTTGTTCCGCTTATGGGCTTCCAGGGGGCGCAAACCCACGGGCGATGAGCATGAGGCCAACAAGATATGACATTGAATGCAGGGCTGACACCGAAAGTGTTCATGCAGGTTCTTGAATCTACCAGTGCCAAGCTGAGAGAAGCCTTGAGAAAGGCCTTTGTCTTTTGTGATGTTGCTGAGTTGGAGAGCTGCCGACGTGCTTAGGAGAAGCGGAGCTGTTCGCCCAATCCTACCCACACCCTTCGTTTTTAGAAGGGCCACCTGTACCAATGGCCATGCGGATGGCGCCGCCGCCGCCGATGGGGTCACGGTCGCCAAGTGGGGATGCCGAAGAACTGTATGCCGAGTACCATTGACCGTGTCACACATGTTGCAAATGTCACACATGTCACACATCGCTTTCCACATCCACACAGGTTATATAGTATCAGTTATGCAACTTCTGTACGTTCATTGGGGAACTGAGGGCAACAGAAGGCAGGGGGCCAAGTCTTTGGGATTCAAGGGTGAGTTGTGGTCTTTTTGGATCGCGAGCCAGCCATGTCTCAGGTAGCTCGGTCTGATGTGCTAGCTGAGATGGCTGGATCCTGAGACTTGAAAAGAGGCGCCATGTCGGCATTTCGAGGCCGCAGCCATGCCATTTCTCTTTTGACACATTTAGATGTCATGAATCATGAATGCTTTGCTTCTCAAGCGCTTTGGTGGAAAGTCAAGCTCTTTTGATACAGCTCAACAATGCAGGGGTGAGAGAGGGATTCATGAGGTTCCCAACATGTAACAACGCGAAGCCAAAACCCTCCAAGCGGTTTCCAAAAGAGTGGATATATAGTTTGATGAGGGCCTGCTTCTACTGCAGCTTTCTTTCACTTGAACGGCTCTTTCTGCCCAACTGGGATGTCCGACAATGTCCTGCTTGCCAAGAAGTGGGAGAATGAGGACCCTACTGGTTGGTGGATGTCAGAGAAGTTGGATGGTGTCCGTGCTGTGTGGCGCAATGGAAACTTCTACTCACGCGGTGAAAATACCTTTGCCTGCCCCGAGTGGTTCAAGAAACGCATGCCTGCTGGCTGTGTGCTGGATGGTGAGCTTTGGGGTGGGCGAGGCCAGTTTCAGAAGACGGTGGGCATTACCCGCAGCGCAGGTCGTCATGCCGAATGGGAGTTCCTAACGTTCATGGTTTTCGACTGCTTAGTAGAAGGAGGTGCTGATATTGAAAACAAGCCTTTCGAGCATAGAATGGAGGCCGTGAAGCGGATTTGCGCTGCAAATGCACACGGGGCAACCTTGAAAGCTGTGCCCATGGTGCGGTGTGGCAACCGCGAGCATTTGTCGGCTGCTCTTGCAGATGTCGAACACCTCGGCGGTGAGGGCCTGATGCTGCGAAGCCCAGGTTCCAAGTATGAGCGTCGGCGCTCCAAGAGTTTACTGAAGGTGAAGACCTTTTATGATGAGGAGGCCATTGTTGTAGGGCATGCTGGCGGCACCGGTCGGGTCGCCGGCATGTGCGGTGCGCTTCTCTGTGAGACGCCTGACAAGCGCCGCTTCAAGGTGGGTTCTGGCCTGAGCGATGCCCAGAGGAGAGACCCGCCGGTCGTCAACGCAGTCATCACCTACCGGTACCAGGAGCTCACGGCAGACAACATTAGGCACTTGTTCCTAATAGCTTCTTGTTACTACTAGTAAGGCACCTGTTACTACTAGTAAGGCACTTGTTTCTAATAGCGTCCTTGTTACCAGGAGCTCACGGCAGACAACATCCCAAGATTTCCGACCTTGGTCGGTGAGAGGACTGATATGACATGGACGCAGATTTGCACAACTTATGTACCTCCCCGTGCACGCAAGGACACCGCCATGAAGAAGAAACATTCCATCCTTTTTGATGCTCTTGATACCCCCTCAGGTGAGATAGTGCCAGAACCACATGTTCCGCCTGTTCCTGCCCTCAGACGTGGCCTGACGGCAATGGATGCTATGCAGCGTGGCACCGCGGAAGAGGACTTAGATGACTTTGGCTTCGATGACATGCTGCCGCCGGCAGTGCCGCCTCCGGAAAAGAAGCCGCGGTTGTCCTCTGCGGCAGAAATTGCAGCAACCACTAGTGGAAAGAAGAGTATGTGCCCTTTTGGACGAAGGTGCTACCGCAAAAATCCAGCGCACTTCCTTGAATTTGAGCATCCGTGGAGGGACGTGGAGAATGAAAAGGATGAAGTTCTTCCAGCGCCTCCCGAGGACGTCAAAAGTTTTGCTGATGCAGCAGCAGGCCTTTTTGATGCTGAGACGCAGATCTTATGTGCTGATGCGAGGCAAGAGACGAGGGAGGTGCCAAAACCTAGTCCCGATTCAGCCATGCCTCATTCTTCAGAAAGCGCACCGGTTCCACCGGTTCCCGTTGATTCCAGATTAGTAGCTGTTCGTAATTTGCTGAAAAGTATGTTGGAGGACGCTGGATCTCCAGAGCTTCGCAAGCATTTTGAGCGCATGATCGAGTTTGCGGATTCCGTGCCGTCCACCGAAGCCATGCCAAAGGCTGCACAGGTTCCCGCGAGGAGCCTCGCGTCAGCCTTGCTGTCCACGACATCAGAAGGACTCGGGGTAGACGAGTCACGCGAGCCACGTGGTGAGACTGAGAGTGATCGAAACCGTGAAGAGAGTGATCCTAAGGCTCACGTGCAAAGCGAACTCAGCACAATGGGTTTTGCCAAGGCAGCAATACAAGAGGCATTAGTCCATTGCAACACTACGGCCGAGGCGGTTGATTGGCTGTTAGCTCACGACGCATAATGCGTCGTCGGCAGAAATGTTTGGTTGTCCATTGCCAATGGATGCCAGTGGAGTTGTGCAGTAATGCTCCAAAAAGAAACTCTTTGCAACGTGCCTGCGGCACTTTTACAGTCTTGTGTTGCCTTTGTGTTCTGGGTGCTTTGTTGGGTTCAGATGAGGGTTCCACCATACTTTGGGGTCACTCTTGTTTTCAGGGTCAAGGAAGGAAGACTCTAAGAGGAAGGACGCTGGGAAGGAAGGAAGGAAGGAGGGAGGGAGGGAAGGAAGGGAGGAAGGAGGGAAGGGGGGAAGGATGCTACGACATTAGGACACCGCGCCACTGGGTTTGGTTTGTAGGAATCAACTAGTAACCCACATGCCGATGTGTGCGCAAGGTTTCGGGCATGTTTTGGTTGCATGTTGGACGACAGGAAAACGGCATGCGATGACTATGACCTGTTGATGTGACCTTTGGGAGGCTGTCGGTAACTGTGGCTTCATCACCCTGAAATTGGGGAGATGTGACATTACACTGCCCGAAGTGGCTTAGCCACTACCATTTGTAAGAAAATGCTTCCTCAAAGGCCTTGGTCTAAGCCTTGGCGCCTAGCTACCCCATACTGTGTCCCAGCGACGGCCAAGGTCTATAGTGCGCCAGTGGTACCAGGATTGCCCTGGCCAAGGTGGGGCCTGGTTTGTTGGGCGTCCTTGTCTGTGGTATCCCTGCACACTTGAGTCACACAGCCTTGGCGTCTCACATTTGCAAGTATACATTATTATTTACATTCTTGTCTTGCTCCATGTGCACAAATAACGTGGTAGAACTCAGCTCGCCTTGAGGGTGATAAAAGTACTCCCAAACAGGGTTTCTCGTGCGATTCGCAGAAGCTGATGGACATGGCCTGCTTTTTGTGAGATCTGCACCCACTCTACGGGCCATTTCAACGATCCCATGATCCAGCTTGATCTCACTTGCAATTCTCACGACAGCCTGTCGGACGTGAACTCCGATCAAATGATCTCGTGCTCTCAGAGAGTACCGTCCCCGTCCTTCTCGCGATGTTCGCCTGCAAAGACTTGAAGAAAAAGGTGACTCTCTTCAAAAATTATCTTCGAAACAAACTCAGGAGTTTGTTTAACTACATTACATGTGAGCCCTCCCTCGCACCCTTGCACCCACAAGCACCCGCCAGGAAGCGAATGGCAATCTCCTCGCCACGTCGTGCCATCGACGCTCGCGCGCAGGAGACTTGCTAGATACCAAAAACCCCAAAGTCACGTTTTGTGAAACACAGCTGCTGCCTGCTGCTAGAGTCCAGAATCCATTTTGGTCTTCTCTGCCCCTCCTCGCTTTTTTCGGAAGGCGCTGCAAAAAGATGGCGCGTCCAGTTCTGGAGGTCCATGTTCGTGCAATGTTGAACTCAAAGAACGATGAAGACACCTCGTGCGAAGTCGAAAGGCTGAGCTTGAGGTTTTCTGATGTTTGTCTTCTTTTCAGGACCAAAGCGCAAAGTTCTTAGCAGACAGCTTAGATTCCATAGAAGAGACCAAGAGAGTTGGACTCCGGCCCGACAGAGTTGGACGTCATTCCGGACGAAGTTTTTCTCAGAGTTTTTTCAGGTCCTCCCTTCACGGAGGCCAGTGCGGTAGCGAACCACACTGCCTTGGTGCATGTCATGTTTCGCATGTAGCCAGTTTGCATCTTTGTTTTTGTCCTTCCCTTTGCTTCGTCACGGCTGATGCCAGGCACAAAAAAGACGCACGCATGCAGCAGTCACTGAGGACGGAATAGGGTTGCAAGATGTGATGCATGGTGAACGACATGTTGTTCACACTTTCATTTCCCCTCCAACGGATCGAGAAGGGTATTATACCACAGGTGTTCTCAGCTGTCTTGGATGAATTGAAGGACGTTTGACGGGCCAACGGTGCATTCATGACACCAAAGAACATGAATTCAATATAACTGACAGTCACGCCCCCCCCCCCCCAAAGTGCATTTGTGTATGTAAGTCCAAGCGTGCCACTTGGTGAAGCTTGAAGAACCTGTGTCAGATGAAATGGGTTATGTTTCTTTCCCATCAGTGAAGCTTTATCATGCTTTATCTAACACAAGAGACGGAAACAACACGAGAGCACTGGTTTCTGACTCTTTCATAAGTCATAGGGGAATATGATATGTGTTTCAGCAGAGTCAAAGGAGTCTGGGTCTCCGCATTCTTAGACGACTAGCCTTGGGTTTTATCCGTGTTGAGGACGTGCTGTCTCAAGTCATTGAGTCCGCTTTGGGTCATTTTGTTTGTCCCTCTCTCAGCTCGGGCGGTGGCCCCGCACTGTCTGTGTCACACGACGTGCGGGGTAGGATTCGATCGAATGAATCGAGGTGACAACTTGATCGGCCTTGGTCTTGACGATGGCTATGATGTGGTAGATCCTGTTTGACATTGGCTTTGGTGCATCTTGCACGTGAAGCATGCATCCTACATGTGGTGCTTGCTTTCCAGTCTTGCAGGAAGGTTTCACTATCGGGGGCAATCTCCTAAAAGGATCTCAACAACTCAACGTGATTGAAAGCTACCAAAAGATGGGTGCGCGGGAATTTACCTTCGCAGATTTGAGCAACCCGGACCCCGCCCATTATGGCCAGATGATGAAACACTCGCAAAGTTGATGGGTAGCCCCTAGGGTAACCCGTAGAGAGGTTATTGCAGGAATTAAGCAGATCAGAAGTCCAACCTAAACCACTGTAAAAAGAAGTCAGACTCTATCAGGAGGCTGATGCATGTGTTTGAGCATCAATCATCTGTACAGGAGTCCAAGGAGCACACTACTATATATGCACGAATATTTGTTGCTTCCATGTTCTGTCAATGCTATATGCCCGTCCGTGTTCTGGAACATGGAGTGTTACATGCCCGTTTGCCGAGTTTTCACTCGTTGATCTCCTTGCAGAGGCTGCATGTGCACGAACATTGAAGAGTATCGAAGATCCACATTGGGGGACTTTAGCGCTCGTTTGCTTCATAAGAACTTGTGGCAGCCTCTTCAGCTAGTGGCGCATACAGTGCGCCCAGAGGCAGCTACCAGCTAGCAGCTAGCATCTTTGGCTGTTAAAAGGTTTGCCAGCAGAGAGGGCTTGTAAGGTGCCCATGTTGAGATTTGAGCAGTCCTTTGCAGTGTTGTCGCTCCAACTCAGCTATTTTGCATTTCCCAGTTCACACATCTACATGCAGACGCTATCCTGCAGTCACCCCATTAGCATACCACTACTACATGCAGTTCATTGTGAATCGTAATTCATGATAGGAACTGTAACTGGATTATCCCTGCCTTTGGGCCTCCCTGAGAGGTCCCTAAAGGAGTGACAGATCATGTGACTCTAGGTGTACGTTGCGAGAGATCATTTTGGGATTGCCCCCTTTATGTACCAGAGCATTGTGGAGGAAGCGGGCAACAAAAACGAAGAGACATGTACCTACAGTTGTGTTGCAACAAAAGCTCGCTCCCTCACTTTTGTGGTTTGGATCTTCTGGTAAGACAGCGGCAACATCATGCTGCATGTAAGACGACTCCATCACGTGGTGTTTTGCTTGTATGATTGTTGGAGCTTGGGCTTGTTGCAATTTGCCATGGACATGCCTTTTGGCCACCAAATGCTCTACTTGTCTCACATGGAGCTGAATCAAGACCCACAGCCTACCTCAGTTCCACCTTCCCAATTGGTCCAATCCATGCCGACAAGATCAGGCAAACAAAGTTGAACATAAAGAAACATGCGAGTACCGTCCAAATCATTCGAGTTTTTCCTTAAGTATTGATGCCCTGCGTCGTCACCAGCTCTGCGGACAAACAAAAAAGTATATATCAAAAGTTCCTGTCAACACCCTACATGCGACCAAAAGATAGCTACTTCAATCTACAAAGCGTTATGTTCAGCGATGGCAGCCATACATGACCAACCATCAAATATTTTTTTGTGAGAAACATGGCGAAAACAAAGCAAATGAAAATGCAAAAGCAGCGCAATTTGCATTGTTTTGTTTTTTTCCTGGTACCACTCCTGCACCTAGGAAAAACATGCGAAACACAGGCGCAAATAAAGCGAAAAACATGTGACAATAATGCGAACAAAAAAATTTAAACGCGACAAACACGCACAGCTACATTTTTTGCTTTTTTCCCCACCTGTCGTGAGGGTTGTTAGATTTTACGTCAGCTGCATCTCCTCCTCCGCCTCCTCCGCCTCCTCCTCATCAGACCTCAACCACAACCATCCGCGCCCAGTGTTCCCTGCCGGACCTCAACCGCGACCATCCGCGCCCAGTGTTCCCTGCCGGACCTCAACCGCGAGCTCCAGGCGCAAGTGTTCCCTGCCGGACCTCAACCACAGCACACAACCGCAATCACAAACACAATCATACCACAAACACAATCACAAACATTCAACCACAAACACACAACCACAAACACAATCACAAACACACAGCCACAAGCACAACCACAAAAACAATCACAAACGCAACCACAAACACGCAGCCACAAACACGCAGCCACAAACACAACCACAAACACACAACCACAAACACACAATCACAAACACGCAATCACAAACACACAACCACAAACACAACCGCAAACACCCAACCGCAAACACAATCACAAACACGCAATCACAAGCACCCAACCACAAACACACAATCGCAAACACACAACAAACAGAACCAAACACAATCACAAACACACAACCACAAACGCAGTCACAAACACACAACCACAAACACAATCACAAACTCAACCAGGAAAAAACCACGAACACAATCACAAACACAACCACAAACACACAACCACAAACACACAATCACAAACACACAGCCACAAACACAACCACAAACACCCAACCACAAACACAATCACAGACACACAACCACGAACACAACCACAGCCACAAACACAACCGCAGGGCAAAGACGCAATCGCAAACACACAACAACAAACACAACGACAAACACAATCACAAACACACAGTCACAACGACCACAGCACACAACCGCACACGACCACAAGACACAACCACAGCACAG